TTCTCGTTTCTGTCAAACGACAATAACAACAATACTAAAATTATTAAAACAATAAATATAACAAGGAGAGAGAAAAAAAAGCCAAAAAAAGAAATGTTGCTCAGCAACATTAAACAGTAGGTAGTAACTAGCTACAGAATATAGAGTGATGTGGATTTAAATAGATTTTCTTAAGAGAAATATAGCGAAAAAAAAAAGCGTCTTTCCTATTAGAAAACATTAAGAATAGAACAAACAAAAGAATGCTTTTGTTTAAATTCAAAGACTGATTACGGTTTCAATTGACTAATTTCCATTTCTACATATGGTAATTTGATTTTAGCAATAGAAAAAATGGTATCATTGACTTGATGAAGTTAGTCAATTCATCTGTTTGTTTGATCGTTGACGACTGATTAAGATCTATTTGAATAATAGATGTCAAAGGGTACAACATACTATCGCGTTCATTTATCTACATGAGATAAGCACCAGATCCTGATTTTTCAAGCCTGTATTAATATGTTTAAAAAACCAATACATAACTCATGACAGGCAGGACACGTCAACGAATAAGCACAATTAGGCTAGAAAGACTCATAGTCTGTCAGAGGCAGCCTAGGTCTATGAAAAGTAGGTTTACTAGAATATCAGGTAGATATTAGAAAAAATATCTCTATAATTCAAAATTAGAGACCTGAATCAGAGTGAACTAAATGTTTTATTAATAAATCAGATTCAGCACAAGACGTTTTTTTTAATTGTAAATTTTATTCGTTGGTAGTCACTGTAGAAGTTGATATATTTTCGGGATTTCAATTGGCGTCTCTTCAAGGCTAAAGCTCATGAGAAGGAGTCAAGACTGACTCCAACTTTTTCTTACTTTCACAAAGTTCTAAGGAGACGTAAATCGAGCTTCCACAATATATCAGTTTATGTAATGAATATCAAAGAATAAAACAGACCGTTTGAAAGAACATGTAGTATTCAATCTAATTTACTGATAGGCACTTTCGAAAGCTTCGACTGCTTTTAAAAATGATCATAAGGCAAATCACTTAAATATTGAAATCGAATAGGACACGAATATAACATCTATAATTATTGCAAAAGATTAAATTTTGTATAATCTCGAATATAGCTACAATATTTAATCAAAATCCGGTAAAGGTCAAACGATGACTGTTATTTAAAAGCTACCGTCTATCACATTATAACACATGTTAAAAATTAATGCTTCATCAATTATTTATTATTTGCAATAAATAAAAAAATAGTTTTAATCATTATTTCTATTGTAACGTTGTTTTTTAATTTGTAGGGTCAATTATATATTCGATCGACATTTATCATGAGCCATTTTAAATTTTTTTTTTGACTTAATTTATTGAAATATGTCGAAAACTATTTTTATCAATGTTTTTTATTTAATTCAAATAAATTAATTTTCTATGAATAAAACAATTTAGTTCAAGTAAAATTTTCTATCATAAACATATCTTTAAAGGATGCTCTTCTCCTCTCTCTCTTTTTGACCATTTCTGATTCTCGAAGATGGTACAATTGATCAACTTGACATGACATAGTAAGTTCCTATTTTCAAGAAGTTCAAATTAAGTGACAATGAGAAAAATTTCATCCAAATGAATTTCAGTACTCTGAGAAATAAGCGTAGAAAATTCATTTGAATATTAACAATACATAGAAATGTAGTGTATATCTTTGGGAATAGATTGAGTCAAGAGATATTCATCTTGTTACTATAAACTATTCTCAAACGCTTCATTGAGTAACTTGAGAATGTTGGTACTATAAGGCAATTGTTTTAATTTTTCCATGACTTCTAAAATATATTTAAAATAAAGTGCTAGCTAGCTGACAATTATGCAAGTAAAACGGCTTTTGTCTTCGCTCATACATCCTTCCTAACCCGACCAACTTAAAAAGATATACACGTTATTTCTATATACTTTCCATATTAAAATGATTTTCCTAATTCAACCTAACGATAGACTACGAGTTTTATCCTTTCAATTGAATGTGTAAAAAGAGATTTCAGCTATGCATCATGAATATTTAATCTGGACCCTTGTAGCAGTATTCTTGAACTTGTATCATTCATTGAATAATAATGTGTAGGGATTTGAATTTCATGAAAAAAGGAATTTGTCATGCTCTTCCAGTTGAAAATTTTACTACAGATAGAGAATCGAAAATAAGAAGACATATGTTCGAAGAAAAAAGTTGGAAGTGAATTTTTGCGGTTGTTTTTGGCAAATCTTGGTGTTCCATTGGATCGAATCCAGGTTGCTTACGACACTCATCAAACTTTATCCAATTGAGCTGAAAATTGTTTTTTTTAGATACGTAAGACTATATCTCAGAGGTAATATTAAACCTTTACTCTCCGTGGGTCACTGGTGTAACCATTTGTAGAACAATTGCAGAAAATAAAGAAAGCATAAGATTTGAAAACGATAAGAACATTTTTTCTAGTGAACTTCATAGGCTATTAATCGGTAAAAAGAATATTTTTTTATTGCTTCACCTTTGAAATATCGAGCCCACAAAACCGATAACGTTACTAAAATGGAAAAATTCGAATTTTTTAAAATGAAATATTCTCTACCTACATTCAATAGAGATTTTTCAGAATTTCTATATGATATAAATCAATGAAGAAGATCACCGATGAGTTAAATATATTTCAAAAGCTTCACGATGACTGGGTGAATTACACATACTAAGGCATACAATAGGTCATGAAGACATTATTGGGCAGCTAAAGGGTAATCAAGAATAAGGTTAATATACACATTATAGATCTCAACTCATGAGAAGTTGAAAAAGTGTTTATTATTAATTAAACGTCTTCAGAAAGTATAAAATGGCTCAAAGTAAAGTAAATGTTTATTTAATCAAGTGTGTCAAAAAAATGTACTCTTTTGACATTAATTTTCACCGGTTCACTCCTTCGGTTGTTCTATTACTACAGTAACATGGAATTCATATTGCTTTTATCCACTCAATAAAGTCATCAAAGAAAAAAAAAATCAAGGTTTAGTATGTCGTTCAATCCCCTTTCTTCACCGCATGGTCATTGAAACAATCAAACGATTCTACATAAGAATATGGACGCTCGGTGAATCAGACCACATCATTAACATATTATACAGGCTAATAATCCATTTATAAAGTTATTTTATTAGTGGCTCTTCTGGAACTACTGTGAGAGATAAAGGACGAAGCATTCCCAAAAATCTCACTTTCGTTCTTTTTACGAGAAAAATACGTAAAAATGTCACAGGCAAAATTGTTTTTTTTTGGCGCTTCTATCAAATTCAATTTTGACTAGGCAGAATTCATTCTCTGTTCGTGATTATTTTATATCATCTAACTATCAATTTCTTTCATTTTCATAAACAAAGTTCATTGAGTGTTAAATAGCTTTCGATATTTTCTTTTGCAATGTCAATAATGACATTACAACAATCTACTTATTCTCATCCTATTATCAATGATTTTGAACGTGAAAAATTTTATGAACTTGCTAAAAAATATATTGATGCGTTAAATCCTAAATTTCGTAATAAAGCTGTTATCACTTGTGTTCAAAGCAAAAAAATAATCAATGTACTTCAGAACAAGCTATCTACTGAAAAGGTTTTCGGTCGTTTCTCTTACCGATGCAAACAAACGTTCACGCTTCGTCTTATTGCTGGTCATCAACTTTTATGTGATTTTAAAGAAGTTAAACCTGTTCTTTTATACGAAGACATATACTATGTTTATCAGACAAACCGCAGCATGTCGTAGAAAATTTCCTTTCTTTTAGACAGTCACTCCATCTCAACCGGTTCTTCTTTAGGAATACGCACCCTATGCACACATTGGCTGGTACGACAACGAATGAGGGTGAAGGGAAGTGCGTATTTTCTGAATAAGTACCTCTCAATCCATTTTCATCCCTTGCTCGAGAAGCATTTGATTCTTTTAGACAATCGCCCCACGCCAATCCATTTTCATCAAAACAGGGCATACAGATACTGTAGATAAAAAATTATTCACTCATAATAAAATTTAACCAATCATCAAAGTCCCCATGTCCCCATCATCGAAAAAAAAATACAAATTCATCATAGAAAAAAAAATTACCCATAATAAAATTTCACCAGTCATCAATGTCCCCAAATCCCAATCATTGAAAAAAAATGAATTTACTCATATATAAAATTTTCCCAATCATCAATGTTCCCATCTCCCCATCATAAAAAAAATTACTAATTTATTATCACATAAAAAAATACTAAGCGTCTTATATCTTTGTCATTGAATAAACTAAAAAGACGACTTTAAATTTTGAATAAACAAATAGGCTTATATCTTTATAAAAAATATCTTTTTTTTGCAAAATCAAAAGTAGCAATTTCAATCTCAACTAGATTACAAACTCATCTCCAACATCTATATTTAAACAAACTCAAAATGATTTTTTCATGTAATCCTAAAGTAATTAAAAAAGGTGATGAAGAATGCTGAAGCTTTCATATCAATTTTTTTCTTTAATCTCAGTTATGTATAGAGTTCAATGCGAAAACTGAAATCTTGGCTTTTGAGGTCCTATAAATCCGAATAAGAAAGTCAAAAATGAAAACGGCCAATTTTATCTTTGAAGAATATTTCCAAGTATCAATGGTAAATATTTCAGCTTGATCAATTGTATTATCTTCGAGAACGAGAAACGATCAAAAAAAGAAGGGATAGATGGTCTTAAATAAATTGAATAGTCATAGACATTATTAAATTGACTTTCGGATACATAGTCTATTAATACCCAGTAATTTTTTCTTAACCAAAAAAAGAAAAAGACAAATTAATCTTCTCGTACTACGAGTTCTTTTATTTTTATTAAAGCCATTAAAATAAATATGGATCAAATAGAAAGATAACTAGAAGAATATAGCACACAAATAATAATGGGTTATTTTTTATTTCAAATATCCTTTATTTTCTGTTTTTCTTTATGCTTTTCCAACAAGAATAACCAATGCTAACGATAATGCGAAAGCAATTATTATATGAATTAAAATCAAAATTCCTTTAATCCAATCTTCTTTAACATTATGTTCTGGTTGTATTGATTTACTTGGTGTTGGTGAATATTGATTTCGATCATTTAATTCAATTGAAGTCATATTAATTTCTTTTACTGAATCGTCTTTAAAACAATATCCAATCATCCAGAATATCAAAAATAAAATAAATATCCAACATGTCCATGCAGTTAAAATTCCCCATTCTGCAGAAGTTTTAAAATTAAAATTGTCAAAAAACATTGCAATAAAAATTGCTATAGTTGCTAATATCAATGATAATATACCAAGAAATCCATGTAAATAATTAAAAATAAAACGATATTTATCATGAGGTTCACAACGATATAATGCCATTATTAATTGAATAAGAGTAAAACATACTACCATTATACCGATAATTGAATGACTATATTCAAGATTTTCTTTTCGTGATACCCATTCACCTTTTTTATAAGCAAGAATAAGTATAAATGCAATTAATGTTAATACAGTAGCAATTGTCATTAATGCACGATGAACAGCAAACCAAATTGGTTTCCCACATAATTTTCTATTTGGCCAGCATTTTTTAAAATAAAGTGCAATAAGAATACCAGTTGGAACATAAAATATCCATGTAAATAACATTATAATACCATGTGCTTTCATTAAACTTGTTCGTGAAGATTCAGTTAAATCTGCATTATAAGTAATTGTTGTTTCTTTATTAAGTTGAACATTTTGTGATAATGGTGTACGTGTTGTATGCTGTCTCATTTCACCTATATATATATATATGAATAGAAGATATTTTTATTGAAGAAAATTTAAATTTACCTGAACTATCTAAATCTCCCATAGCTATAAGTGGAATATAAGTTGTAGATTGAGATAATGCAGAAATATCACGTCGTCGTCGTTGTTTTGAACTAGTAAAATTTGATAAACTAAATTCACAATAAGCTATACCATTTTCTAATTTCAATGAACTTGTAGTTAATGTACCACCTGGATCTCTCATTGTACTAGCTAAAATTGGTGGTGAAGTACTACCTGGATTAATACGACGCTCGACTGAAAGTGTATCGTCAGCTAAATGTTTACAAACAAAAACATGATCTTCACCCTATATATATAGTAAAATATAAGTATTTATTAAAAAAAAAATATATAAATAAGCTTAAATGCTATACCATTTCACTATCAAGTGAAAGACCCAAAGCTAACCATTGTGATGTTTTTAAATTATTAATTTGCATTTTAACAGCTGTAATACCATTTGCATATGTCCAACTAATAACAACGCCAGTATCGTTGCTTGTTGAAGTAATAGAAGTAGTAGTAGTAGTAGTAGTAGGAGGAGAAGAAGAACTAGTATTATTAGTAACGACAGCACCAGTTGTCTATTATGTATAGAAGACAAAAAACAATGATTTATCAGTATTTATTTCAAAAGTTCTTAAGATATTAATTTTTATAAATATTTCAATGAGAAATTGAATTACATTGATTGAATAATTTAATAAATAAAAAAAGCATATTATACTTACATTTTCTCCAACAATAGATGGATCACTCTAAATAAATTTAAATAAAACAAAACAAGATTTTGTTTAATTTTAATTAAATAAAATATACATATTTAGCAGTTAATGTAGTACTAAAACAACCAACATATATTTGTGCATATGCTGTAACAATTGTTGCTCTAAATATTGATTAATATACATATAAAATAAAATAAATCAAGTTTATTTACTTGATAACAGTAAAATTATCGGTTATATTTGATGGCGGATACCAAATGGCTTCTATCGATGATTTATCAGTGCGTGAGTTATGAGTTACACCAGTATCTGATTTTCCACCACAGGCAATTGTTTTAATATCTAAGCCTGCTACTGACCAAGTTCCAATAATTGCTTCATTGGTTTTTGTTTTTGCTATTATTAGAACACCTCGAAATGTATCATTATTTGTCGAACCACGAATAGTAACTATGATTGAAAAAGAAAAACATTGTTTCATGAAGAAAAATTTTCTTAATTATACTTACTACGAACCGTGTCATTTATATAATATTGTGATTTGTCGACATTAAGTGTATATTTCGATGAACATTCTTGAGAAGCAACATTATGTTGAGGCGACATTGATGCGCATTCAGTTACTGGTGCACCAGTTGGATAACTGTGTCCAGGTTGAATAGAGATTAAAATGAAGATGAGCAAATCATAAACGAACGAATTCATCTGAAAATAGATTTCTCAATCATGATTAAATCTTGATCCTAAAGATTCATATAAATATAATTAAAGATGTAAACCGAATGGATTGATCGGTAGCGAATGAAATTTTCAAACGAAAAAATGAGAAAACGATGGTTTACAAGAAATCAAACTGTAACATCTCCAAAAAATGATTTGGGATGTCGAAATTTTTTTTAAATCAAACATCTATTTTTATGTCGCGGCAGCAGCAAGTCAGCCGATTGGCTTACACCTGTAAATATAATGTACATATATTCTTCGTTCGTTTATCTGTCACGGTAGAAAAGAACAAATTTTGTTACCTTTCTATCGATAGATGACATCCCTAAAACCTACTTTGATTACGTTTTTGAGTGTTATTCTTATCCGGACTAGGCCAATCAAACAAAATTATTGTGCTTATCTTTTCATCTTTTGTTTATTTTTATAAAGAACATTATTAATAAGTTTTTCATTACACGATATTTCGTTCTCGGTTTTCATATGCACTAAAAAAGATAAGAATAATCCTACATAAAATAAAATGACACAACTACAAGAGGATTAGTATAGATCTGAAATTATCATCACAATTTGCTACTGAAACTTAGTAGTGATATTTATAGTATTGAAAAATAAGCTAGAAATTCAGATTAGAACTAAGGGTGAAAGGAAGAGTATTACAATTCGATTTTTTCTAAAACTTTTAACTAAGAATTTAAACAGACCAAAGAATTTTAATCTGGAGATGGTTTATTGACATTAAAGATATGCAGAATAAGCTTCTTTCGTACCCTGTACTCTGTAGGAGGAAAATACATGATTTTATTCTTTTATGAAATAAAAGAGTCTTGCAAAGAAAATTAGTGTGAAATATGTAAAATTTGTGTATGTATCTGCCAGGCAGGAAAATGAGAACAATAAAAAAAAATAGTGAAATATATCAAATAAAATATATTGATATTGGTTTTTTGTTCTTGAAAATTATGACAGTTTTATGATGAATACTGAAAAGAAGCTTGACGACTCAAATATTCAGAATAAACAACAAGGCTGTTCGAGATGATCAAGACGAAATAAGTTTTAGTTCAATTGGTATCCTCTTGAATAGATTCATGCGTAGAAATTGAGCGTTGGGCTGGAAAAAACATCTTCAGTCATATAATTAACTGTTTATTTCAGCGTCATTGTATGAAGGTGCGAAACGCTCTCCGAAAAATCGCAACTCATGCGTGTCTTTGTATAAATAGAACTTTCGCATGAAAATATATGATACCTTATATGAGTTTTCAAAAAGCTGCACGACTTATCTCAGAAAAAATCCATTTCAGAAAATCATGGTGAGCTTTATCAAATCGACTTTCGAATATGTAATGATGTAATAAAAAATTTTTCTCATTAATCAATACAGTTTTCATCTATAGAACATAGTTTTAATCAAAGAAAAGTGCAACCAATCTTTTTGCATGTTCGTGCCACGAAAGGTATCATATCACATCTGTCTCCACGAGGTTCATCTGACTGATTTCACTCTACATATGCCTTGATTCCTATGATTATTAGGGTCATAACTATGCCGATTATGTTCATTATTCCATGCTTCGGAATCATGTGAGAAAAAAGTTTTCTGTAAACTTCTAAAAGGCATCAAATTGTAAACATCGCATTGGGAAAGATTTTACATGAATTTTATCATTTTCTTGTTTGATCTGTTCATTCTGAAACAATGAACCTTTGTTTTCTTACTTGGATTAAGGATCTACTGATTGTGAAAAAGTAAGCTAAGTTGAATTATATTTTATAATTCAGATAAAATTTATCTTTGCCTTTTTGCGTATTTTCATGGGACAAATGTTTTTGAAATGACAGTTAGTCATCGATTTCAATCCAAAATAATTATTTCTTTATTAAATATACGTGGTGTTTTTTTACCTGTTTGTTGATGATAATCGCTCAGACAAATACGAAGAAATTGAATAACAAATAACATAACTGTAAATAAATGTAGTAAAACAAAAGGTGTTTTTTTAGTTCGGTTCGGTTCAGTTCGGCACTAGTTAAATTTCTCTCGATTCTGGTTCGGTTCAAAAATTAAAACTTCGATCCGTGTCCATCTCTAGTCAAACAGGTACAGATGACTTCCGATGAAAATAGAACAAAGATATGGGTGCGTTTCCGTCAAATGTATAATACCTGAAAAAGACGTCAAAATATCAGATAGTTTCATAAAAGAGATGCGGTCTATCTTGAGATAGACACTACTTGTGAATTTACCTTTTGTTTTGAAAACAAAGCCACTGGTTATAGTTTCTTGCTGCAGAAAACTATTTATATCTTCTGAAAACAATTTTAGTGCTGAATTGTAAACCTTTCTCTTTTTTTAATCCAATCACTCGGCTCAATATTACTAAATTTTTGAGTTCGAAACTTGATTTGCACTCGCTCAGCTTTGTTTCTTTTTTTCTTTAGTAATTCAATAATGCTCTGACAAGCAAAAAAAACATTTATAATGCATTCAATACGGTCTTAATATTATATGTCAAAACAAATGGTAAGAATGAGAAAATAATCACAGGCAATATTCCTTTAGAAAACGATAAAAAACAGATTTATCGATTAATCGAATGTCATCAAGTCCGAGTACATTATTCTCTTTATTTTTTGATTTCTATTAGATAAGTTCCTTCTTTCCGACTTTTACGTCTTAAGAAAAAAACAAATTTAATACGCAAACACTGTTAAAATCAATAGCATACCTTTCTAAAAACTCACCAGCTGGATCATGAATAAATAGAAAACAAAAAATCAATGTAAAAAAAAGTCCCATTCTATCGACCAAGCAAAAAAAACAAAGTACTCTGTACACGCTTGCCTTCTCTGTTTACATATGATTGATACTCTGTCAGTTATAATTTAGCGATATATTTTTTTTTCTTTTTCATGACTTTCTTTTTCGTTCTGTACTTTTTGTACTATTTTGTGTTCGATTGATCAAGGATTAATCATGGCAATCATAAATCTGCGAATATCTATACACTCATTTATGCTATATGATACAGGGTATTACAAACGAAAAATTTATTAGCACCATATTTATAGTAATAAAATATGAATCATATAAAATGAACTTCTTAAACTTCATTGTGTTTTAAATATTTCTCCTATCATAGTGCATTTTATCCTTCACTCTACGTTGTATAATAATACGATAACAATAAACAATATCTGATTCATATGTAACAATAATACGAAAAATAGGCTCATTTCTAAGCAGTAATGTTATTGTCACAATCCCTAAAACATTAGTCAGTAATGTTTTCTAGCTTGTTTGTTTACCTAACGTTTCTTTTTTTTTCTTTCTTTTATTTTACTTGCTCGCACAAGAGAAATGAAGAGACAAATAAATATGAAATAATGAACGACAAAACAGAAAAATATTTTGTTAGCAAGTGATGAACACATGTAGTATACAATGTTCTATTGACTTTCACACTGAAATGAAAAAAAAAACACGACACTCAATTTCAAACTGAAATAAAAGTCTAGAAAGTCTTTAGAATTATATTATTTTCTATAGCCTATAAATATTACGGATCTGCTAAGCCTTCAGTCAGTAAAAAAAAAAAAAGAAAAAGTTTATTAGAGTAACATGTTCGGTGATGAAATGTGGAATTTACATGTGTTCATTAGTTTCATTAGACTAATACAAATATATTAAGTGAAAAATCTCTCACAGACTATAGTTGTTCTCTAAGAGAAGCGATTCGTCTTATTTATTTGTACATTTCGAACAGAATTCTTTTTTTCATTTTTTTTTACTGATCATCTATTTTTTTGTTTGCCTTGTTGCTATTCACTCGTTATTGTTCTTTTTCTTAGTTTGACATAATTATTATTACACTAACCGTAAGATTTACCTGGCAACTGAGTCTGTCGTATAGGTTTATTATACTTAAAGTACGAGGCTTCACCGCATTATTATCTACATCAATAAGCTTACAAACAGCGATCTTGATTATTTCCTAAAATTATAATTTGATCAGTTCAAACTTTTATATCAATTTTGTTTTAAAACTTACACTCATAATTTTCTTCGAAAATATGTGAGTTCCACAAAGGAAGATCTATATGACATGAATTCGTTCGTTGTGAGATTATGCTTCTTTTATGTATAGTAAAATGCTTTAACTTCGTTATATGTCGATAGACACATTGTTTTTCTTGGACATTGTTAACTTCTTGGATTTGTTAAAAGAAGTTCCGAAATTAATTTGAAATGAAAAACACCACAGAATCACATATAACTATCTTGTCAACAATGACGACCTAAAAAACAAAATAAAAAGAAAGTTCATTACAATATTGCAAAGTGCGATCCACTGTTGTGTTTATTTTCAAAGTATTTCTATTGTATATACTTAAATAGTTTTATAACCCCTCGTCCCCCCCTCCCCTCACAGAATAGAAGCCCAGTCTGAAGGTTATAACTTTCCAGGCATATTAGAAGCCCACTATGTTCAAAATGAGCATAAAATAAATAGTTTTAAAAATTGGATAAATTAACCCACTGCTTCTTACTATTTTATTATATGTGTTAGTTTATATGTCTATTTTTGTTTACATTGCATATTTTTTGGCAACAGACAAATGAACATCTTTGAAATGTTAACAAATTTTTATGCACATGTGTTAATAAAACATAATTGTCCAAGAACTATTGAATAGAAATTCTCATATGTATAAATTTGGTAGAAATAAAAACATCGAAAGAAAAAATATCGAAAGCATTATTAATGCTCTTTTCACACACACTAATCATATGCAAATGCAGGACATAGATCCTTCTGCAGATTATTCACGCGGTGTTGATGAATGGGTGTACTGAAGCTGCATTAATAGCACTTTCGATATTTTTTACTTTCGGGAGGTCCTAACAAATCTCAAATTGGTACCAATTTTCACTAAATGTCTGATCGCTGATATCGAATCTTTAAGAAGGAAAT